AAAATAGAACCAACCACAAAACACGAGCGCACCATTCGCAACAATGCCGCTCATTCTCTTATCCTAAGAAATCCGGTCCCCTCATCTACATCCACGATAACTTTAGCGCCCGCATGCTTACGGAACACGAAAAAATTAGCTGTCGTAAAAGTAACGCCATTTCTATCTATTCAACTCGTAATTTCCTCATGTAACATCTTGTTTCGAAAGTAATAGTAACTGGAGATACTTTAACTCTTCACATGAAAAAAGGAAAGAGGGAAGTTCTTATCCGCACGACAGGCCAAATTGCCCTTTGGCCAACTCTAGGATCAATAGGCAAAAGACGAAGAGAGAGAAAGGAGAAAAGGAGGAGGAAAATCCAGAGCACCCTTTTGTCTTCACTCAGAAAAAAGTGGAGCTCCAAACGTGAGGTCGCGCCGCAATAAATGCGACAAGAAGATGCGACTTCATGTGATCGCGACGTCCTACCCATGGTCCGAAACTAACTCGACCACGAACCACGGTCAGATTCCGGCTGCTCCTCCTCCTCTTCCCCCTCCCCATCCGTCGCGCCTTTCCACGTCGGCAAAATTCTCATCTTCTTCCCACTGCTGCCACCTCGTCCGATCTAATCGGTTGCCGTTTCATGATTCTAATCACTCTATAGTTTGCGAGAAGACGATTGACGGTTGCCGGTTGCCGGTTACCGCGAAATGCCCGTTGGATACCGCTAATCGCGGTAACTGACGGGACCCGTGCACGGGAAGGTACTTCGGTCCTGCATGAACGAGACGCCTCGTGTTTGTCAGATCATCGCCAGAATCAACCCTCCTCCGCCGCTGCGGTCTTTGGGATACCTCGGGAGATCAATCTCCTGTTGTAATTACTTTTTCTATGTTCGTGATATTGCATGCACGCCTAAAAAAAAATTTAAATGAATAGTTAATTATGTGGTATGATATTTTTTGTATGGAAATAATGAGCAAATGAATTTGAGCACCACAAGTTACGACACGAGATATTTGTCCTTCGAGAGACAGTAGAAGTGCCCTTCGATGGCACGTCGTATCAATGGTCTACGAATAAGTTCCACGGCTAGCGGCCTAGTACATAAGGTCTTGTTCTCGTTTGCATCTAGGACGAAAGTGACCAAACCTTTCGAGCAGCCTACGGAAAAGTCTTTAACGTTTCGCACCTAGGATAAAATACATTGCAAAACCTATAGGATAAAAATAACACCGCATACCCTGTAATTCTAGAGTCCGTCCATCTCTCTCTCTACCACAAACGTCCACTAATTTGTTGTCGGGAAAGTTGAGATCGAGGAGAATTGTCCAAAAAGTCATAAATTAATCGGAAGGACTACATTAATAATTCGTTAAAAGGTTTATGAATATATTAGTACAAATGAAAGGTTAACGACTGAATTGGCGAATTGTCAAAAGGTTTGGCACAATTGAAATATTTGGTACTGAATTGATTACACTACAATAAGTTTAGGATTTTTTTTGGACAGTTCGCCATCCCGCGGTAGCCTCGACCACAGCTCGCCTCCCTCAATCGAGCGGGAAAGCTCGAGTCTCGGAAAATACTGACGGCGAGATAGGCAATGCCAGAAAGAGGTAGGCGGTAGGGGTGTCGATGGGTCGGGTCGAGTCGGTTTCCATGATACCCGACCCGACCCGAAATATATAGGGTCACGCTCGACCCGACCCGACCCGACCCAACCCAAGACCTTGTTCAGCATATACTCCAAAAATAGGGTCGGGTCGGGTCGGGTCGGTCCGGGTCGGGTTTAGGGTCACAACTGATGCGCTTCTTCGCTCGACAGTCCCCTCCCAGTTCGCCCATCATCCACACCGAATCCCCCGTCTCTCCTCAGGACAGGCTTAGACTTCTCGTTATTCGGCGTCGTCGACACCGGCGACGGGGACTGTGACGGAGACAGAGCAGGCGACGGAGGCGACGCCGCTCCAGCGCTCCTCGCGGCCAGCATCCTCTTCTCGGCCGCGGCGGCCATGAGCTCCCTCTGCATCCGGCGGCCGTCCTCCGGCGACGAGCACCCGGCGGTGGCGGCGGAGGCGGCGGCGTCCCTGGGCTTGCTCCGCTTGGGCTCCGGCAGCGAGTGCTGCATGCTGAGGCGCAGCGCCATCTTCAGGTCCTCCTCCTCCTGATCCGCCATCAGCGACCGCCCCCCGCCGGCCCCGCGAAAAGGGATCTCGAAAAAAAGCGCCGAGGAGAAGAAGCAGAAGAAGAAGAGATCTAGGGTTTCTCCCCGGGCGCTCCCTCGGCTCCTCCATCGTCAGCGTCGTCGAATCGTCGGCGACTCGCGAAGATCGACGGCGAAGGGGGGATCGATCGCACCGGGGGGAAACGGTCGGAATTGAAGAGGGAGGATCGAAAGCTTTCCCTAATCAGGGGGCCGCGATCGAGGCTGAACTGGATGGAGAGTGAAAAGGGGGAGACAGAAGCGAAGGGGAGAGAGAATGGGAGAGAGACTGAGAGAGGGAGATGGGTTGGCCCAGAGTGTCAATGGGTCGGCCCATCTAACCCCAACCCTTTGATACCCCAAATTTTAGGGCCATATTCCAAGAAAATAAAGACGCGACCCCAAAATACCCCAAATTTTAGGGCCGGGCCGGGCTGCGAGGGTCGGACCGGGCCGGCGCGGGTCTTTTTGACACCCCTAGTAGGCGGTGGTGATACCGGCGGCAGCTGTACCGGCAGCGGCGGCACAGGAGCAAACGAAGAAGATGGTCGCGGTTTCAAATAGGATTTGGTAAGATTGCTTTTCCAGTGGGCCCCCACCTCTCCCCCCCCCCCCCCCCCCCCCGGGCGTGTCCTTCACACGTCAGCATTACAAGGAAAAAACAACCAACGGGGAGGATTGATCCAGCGTGGCGAGGCCCGCGGCGTGCCAATGGGGGAGAAACAATAGTGGACCAAGGAACGATACAATGAGGCCCCGGCCCCACGGGAGCACTCGCTCCGGGCCAATGACGGGGCGACACGTGTGCGGCCCTCGAGGCTTGCTCCTGACCAGTAGCAGCGGCGCATGCTGTACGCGCACAGCATCATGTCCTCATATTCCCAAAGCCCTCATTGGATGGAGAGGAGACGTATTTGGGAATTGGATTAACACCACAAAAAAATCTAAACTCATACATCTGTGATAAATTTACCCTAAATTAATTTTTAATTGCAAAAAATCATAAACTAGTACACCGGTGATAATTTTACCCCAAGTTAATTTTCATTAAATTTTACTGCCGAATTTCTAAGTCGTATGACACGTGTCAATTGACGGATATACCAATTTAAGATTTTACCCTCCTTTTGTCATAGGTGTACCGGTTTGTGATTTTTCGTGGTATTAATTTAATTTTACGTAAGGTATATTTGTCACAAATGTACTAGTTTGGAGTTTTCGGTGGTCAAAAAATTAGTTTAGGGTAAATTTATCACATGTGTACCAGTTTAGGGTTTTTCGTGATAAAAAAACTAATTTAGAATAAATTTATCACAGGTGTACCAATTTAGGATTTTTCGTGGTATTAACTCTTTGAGATTTGAGTGTTTTTAGGGAGGAAGATGTAATATTACAAAATCTTCTATAAACTCCCCATTTTTTTTCCTTCTCTTAACGGAGACACATAAGTACAGAGAATAATTACCTAAAAACTTATTAATCACTCTACAGATCCCCGCGAACTAAATGTGATAACCGGATAGGCCCAAGTAGGGGTGTCAAAACCGAACCGAAAAATCGAACCGATATACGAACCGAACCGAAAATTTCATGCATTTTGGTTCGGTTTCGGTTTCGGTTTCGGTTCGGATAATCAAAATTAACCAATTTTTTTTTCAATTCGGTTTATTTCAGTTCAGTTCGGTCTCAGTTCGGTTCGATCCGAACTGAACTGAACTGAAATAAACACTTCGATTTCCGCATCAACTTATGCCCGGTCTGCCTCCAAGTGTTCGACCCCTTCGACTCTTCCCCGCACCCCAACTAGCGCGTCATGTACCTCAACTGCCCTTCCATCTCCCACCTCTCCTGCGTCACCTCCAGCTCCAACTCCAACCACCACTTCCAGTTAGGAGTGTAAATGGTTCGGTTTGGTTCGGTTTTTCAACAAAACCGAACCGAACCGAACCATTAAGGGTGCACTCTTGAACCGAACCAAATCTCGCTTGAACTGATTATGAATCGAACCGAAAAACCGGTTTGGTTCGGTTCGATTTTCGGTTTCTTCTTTTTTTTTTATTTTTGCTTTTTATTCACGGCTCGGTTTATTCTGTTCCCAAAGCTTGGCTGAGCCGGCGATTCCAAAAACGATGTGCCGGAGCTCCGTCCTTTGCTCCGATTCTGCGAGGGCCGTGCTGTTGCAGAGCTCAATCTATCAATTAAAGCTGGAAAATTTCTCACATAAGAGAGAGAGAGGAGGAACGAGAGGGTTTCTTCTTCAGGAGTTCGAGAATGGCGCCGATTTTGCAGAGCTCAACCTTGGGTCGAGAAATAGTAGAAATTCCCTTCCTTTTCCTTCTCCAATTTCGTGGGTTTCATGTTTCAATTCGTTGAAGTTCTGTTGCTGCTTGGTCAAAAAACCATATGTGTTTTTTTTTTTTCGATCTCTTGCAATCACCAGTCAAACGAAGTAAGTGAAGGACGTGGCTCACCAGGACGAGGTGATAAAGATGAGCAAGCAAAAGAAAATGGAGGATTCGAGTAACAGCCAAGGAAGAAGAGAGTTGCAGAAATAGAGAGAGAAAGAGACGATAAAGAGATGCGTTAGAGAGAGAAATGACGGCCCATTCTGGTTTTAGCTTTAGCCCTTTTAGCTTTAGGGTAAACGAAAGGTTATTTTCAGTTTGGTTCAGGGTTCGGTTCGATCCGAACCGAACCGAAATAAACCGAATTGAAAAAAAATAATGGTTAGCTTTGATTATCCGAACCGAAAACCGAACCGAACTGAAAATTTTCAGTTCGGTTCGGTTTTTCGGTTCGGTTCTGACACCCCTACTTCCAGTGCCCCTTCTGCTCCAACCCTAAGTTCCGGTTCCTCTCCCTCGGGCCAGTCCCCAGCAACGGGGAGGACAAGAGGTCGAGGGTCGAGGTGAACGCGGGCCTCGAGGCTGTCGTCGCCCCCCGGGGGGGCACCCTCCTCGGGGACGATAGGGACAACATGAGGAGGGTGATCGATAGGGAGTCGGCCAAGGCTCTGGTCGCGGCGGCCAAGATCGCCTGCGCCACGATGAGCAAGGCCGCGGCCATCGCGAGGGTCAAGACGGAGCGAAGGGTCAAGGAGGCGGCGTTGGCAAGGAAGAGGGCGAGGGAGGCCTTGGAGAGGGTGGCCTTCTTGACGCTGAAGGAGAAGGAGAGGGATTTGAAGGTGGGGGTTGCCAATGGGGTTGCGTTTGCTCCGGAGCAGAAGGTTAAGCCCGGGGTTGTGGAGAACGAGAAGGTGAATCAAGGGGTTGATGGGATTTTGGGTTTGTCACCGACAAATGGTGTTGTCTCGGTTGCCGGGGGTGTACAGGGAGAGAAGTTGCATTCGGTTTCGCCGGTTGCCGGGCTCAATAACGTTCAACAGAATAAAACCGAAAACTGATTCGAACCAAACCAAACCAAATCAGTTTTTTGGTTCGGTTCCAATTCGGTTCGAGCGAGTTTCGGTTCGGTTTTTCAAGAAAACCAAACCGTTTACAGCCCTAGGCCCAAGTTAAGCCGTTTGGTCGAATCTAATCCTACCAAGGTTCGTATGTAGAAATAAGTTCATGTCTAAAAGTTTTAGGTCGGACTTGAGTTTCATAATTTGCCAGTGTTGTCTAATCTCACCCAAAAGGGTCATTCCGGCCCATTTCACTTAGACGAGCCTAGGTGGACTGGTGAGCCGCTAAGGTCATGATCAGATCTATCATTTACCAATTAAATCCAAACATTTTGGTGTCTTCAAGGTGAAGATACCCCATGCCTCTACTCAAATTTGTGAATTGCTTACATGCTTGTCGTTCTGTAACCAATCGATTTCATTATTCTCTTGAGATGCATGTCTATCAGCTTTTGCATTTGAAGTGTGAAGCTGTTTATTAGCCATGTTGTTACGCCCCGAACCCTATCGAGCTCGCGACATCCGCCACTGGTCGATTTTGCGACATCCCAAGAATTATCGCCGACCTCAAATACGATCATCAGAGATTTAATGCACGGCGGAATCCATAATTAACCCGGACAATTAAACTGGGGAGAATATTCAGGGAGAATACACATATTTCTTTTCATTACCCGCTTATAAAATATTTATAGATTACAACCACCATAAGCACCAGCACACTGCAATTAAACCACCAGTACACCAAAAAGATCATTGACCTGGTATTCTGACTTAAAAAATGGTACTCATCCAAAACACCTATTCTTAACCCCTACATTAGCCCCTACGCCCTTGCTAGGCTTCCATTCCGAGTCTGACTCCTCATCCCCTGAATCTGAACTCTCCTGATCGGTCTGTTGCTCTGAGGATTCCGACTCTGCATTAATCTCAATCGGGTGATTGATATCGCCCGATTCAGCTGGAATTGCATTATGATACTCCTCAGCCAGAAAATCGAAGAAATTGATCTCAGGTACGTAATTAGGATCCATGTATTCCTCAAACGGGAGTATATACTTCGAGTCTCCTACAGGCTCTTCCGACTCCTCCGATTCGATCTCGGGTTCTGCCTCGGGCTCCACTTCCTCTGGTTCTTCTTCCTCCGGTTCCTCTTCCTCTGGTTCCTCTTCGGGGATTGGTTCTAAGTCTATATCCATCGGGTCATCCTCAGCTTGCGATGCTTCGGGCTCGGGCTCATACTCAGCCTCCGAAGATCCCTGAGCGGCGGGTGCTGGATGCATCCCAGATTGCGCTACGCTAACCTCCGTACTGGTCAACTCTCCATCAATCGGGGGTACGACAGTCGGGTCCCAATCCTCAACTAAATCAAACGGAACATCGAAACCCCTAACGGGCCCGAACTCATCCCCATCAGCATCCCAGAAGAACCAGGCTGAATATACATGGGTTTCCCACAAAGGTAGTCCTACCTCTACAAATACGGTAGTAGTATACCTAATCCAGATCACGTTATCTGGCATAGGGAATTCTGCAACATCGTTCTCGGAGTGCACTGGTACCCCAAAACGCACTGGTGGCGGTGGCGGGGGATTCATGAGTCCTGTTGGGGTTCTGAAATTTTTGGTTGAAACAACCGTGAGAACACTTCTCAGTAAGTTCACTCTTAAACCCCACCTAGGCTATCACGTACCTCCAGACAACTACACAAACACAAATCATACACAAACGCCAAATCGACACATAGCAGGCACATCAATTAATTTACCTGACTTATCCTGCTTGCACCCTACACGTTAGTCGCAGTCACATTATAAGCAATCACATGCATGATTAATTCTCATTCTCGCGCATTTCCGTTTGCCGCATCACATTCCTTTCCGTACCACTCGCCAGTGACCCGCGTTACAGTACACGCCTCAGGCCCACTGCGACTATCTCATCACCACACTCCAGGCCCGAGTTACAGTACATGCCTTAGGCCATGTTTCTTGCCCGCGTAAACGTACACGTCTCAGGCTCAACATCTACCACCTACTGCGCAACCCGCGTTGAAGTACACGCCTCAGGCTGGCAGTCTTCCGGTAAAACCGGGCATCGTCCCGCGTTGAAGTACACGCCTCAGGACGGCACAAATTCCACAATCACTCATGCCATCTCATATTCACTTTCTTACTTATGCACATGCTCAACAAGCATTTGCCACACTCAATTGGCCCTTCACACGTGGCCCGTGCACGCATTAATTACACGAAATCCATGCACACTCAGCATTTGGCATGGCCAATGATAATAATTAAAATAATCTGGCCCACACGTGCACCCAACAGGCATAATTAAGTCAACCAATTACACAATCACACACTCAATTTCCAACACCACACTCGGTCATAATTCCAACGCACGAAAAACACGGAAATTGCTATTTTTCTCTAACCAAATGGCCCCGAATCGATTCCGGTCCTTCACGGGACTTTCTCACCATTAATTCTCGGTTCTAAAAATCCAACTTACGTCCCGATCGGCCCATCACAGTCCCATGAACAGTAGTCCACAGCCCATTGTTGTCCTCAAATTTCCAATAAAAATTTTCCGAGTTCAATCCTAAGCCCGCCAATTGATTTCACACCCGAATCATAACATTTCGCACATAATCTAAACCCGATTTCACACAAAAATCATCCGTCAATACCCAATACCCTAAGTCAGGTTTAGAGCGCGACTTACCCGCGTTCTAGACTATCGCGGCTAGAACGGAAAGCGGCGGCACTTAATCGGGAACGACGGCGACGATGTACGGCTCTCGGCGGGCGGCGATCAGCTTGGGCGGCGACGGCGCGGCTTGGGCGTGACCGGCAAGGCTCACGGCCAAGAGAGGGGAGAGAGAAACCGAGAGGGAGAGGGACGGCGTGGGCTGGTGGGGGCGCGGCAACGAGGACGGCGCGGCACGGCGGCGGTCCGGCGGTGCGGCGGCGACGGCGGCGACGGCGGGAGGGAGAGATGGCCGGAGGGAGGAGTTCACGGTGGGGGGGTTTCACGGGGAGAGGGGGACCGAATGGGAGAGAGAGAGAGAGAGAGAGAGAGAGAGGGGGAAGAGAGAAAGAGTCCTTTAGACCTAAATAGTGTTCTTGACCCATTTTGCAAAATGACTAAAATACCCCTCTCTCACAATTTTGATCCGACGGTCCAGATTCGATCTAATCTTGAAATCGACGGTCCAGATCGAATCTTACCAAAAATATCCAAGGGTATACTTGTAATTTCTCAAAAAGTCCAAGAGCAAAATTGTCTTTTCCAACTTTTAGGGCAAACTTACCAAAATGCCCTTGCCCTTTAAAACTAACCCTTTAATAAATTCCAAGGGTAAAATGGTCAGTTTCTTCGTTTCTCGCCGAAATCGAACTTTTCTGAAAAATCCGAAGAAATCCAGAGATGTACGTTCCAATTACAACGTCGTCCAAAGGCCCTGCCGTGACTTTCCGAATTTTCTGACGCTCAGTTTGGTCTCTACTCAATATTCCAATTATATATTCATAACGTAACTCAAGCGTTTCTCAGACTAAAGGGTGGCTTTTGGGAAATTCGCCAGTACGACCCGTGACTGATACTAAATCGAGTCACGTACAATTTATTCAGACCGTAATGACTTCGGTTGTCATTAAAATCGTGAGGATCAATTGCTAGATCCGAGGGGCACGATCGTTTGGTATAAGTACAGGATCATTCGTCAAGTCATTTCGCGGTCCAGCGGAATCACCCGCGATCCACTAATATGACAGTGGCGAGCTGACCCCTAACTATCCTTGGATCGGCCAACAGTGGCTCAAAATATCACCTCGACGATTTTATGGTCGAAAGTCCATTTACGACTGAATTATCTTTAGTCGTACGAATTTTAAATCCCTAATTAGCCTTTCCCTACTGGTTAGTATTCCAGGAATGATCAGTTCCGGGTGAGAACTAGCTACGAGCACATTAATAAAATAATTCATTTCATAAATCCCAAATGAGCGAAATCTCGGAATGTCACACATGTTCTCCACATATTTTGCTACCTGACATGATTGCTCTATGAATCACCTTCTCGGGTAATAGGGTGGACGAAACCAATTTTTTAGTGGAACTTGATTTAAATCTCACAAAGTTGTAATTAGATTGATCTAATAAAGTAAATTGGAACCTATAATTTAGGGTGAATGACACAAATAGTCCGTAAACTAATTTTCAACCTGCAATGTCATTCTTATATTTTTAATTCGTGTAATATTTATAAAGACCAAAAAGGTAAAAAAGTAATATTTAGGAATTGGATTGAAATTGAAAAATATTCTAAAATTCAGGCAATAGTGAAATTATCAGAACTTTCGACTTTTCTATGGAAAATTAAGGGACTAGACCCAACAGATTGAATATTGAGGGATTAAATTGGACAATTAGGAATAGTTCGAGGACCATATTTAATGAATAAAAAGTTCAAGGATGACATTGCATATTAGATCAAAGTTTATGAATTATTTGTGTCATTTTCCAAATTATTTATCCAACGGGTCCATATGATCTCAGTGTACTACAGTGTACAGTCGTTAGATCAAATCAATGTGATCATTTCATCAATTATCGTGGTGCACTCGGATCGCATAAATGTGGCGCATCCTGTGGATTTCGAACTTCGCCGAATATCGTGGCTAGAGAGAGAAATCGAGGAATCTAAGGTAAAAGCAGAGCTCGCAGCTACACATTATATAAGGACACAAACCAGGAGAAGCATTCACAGCGTGTGAAAAACCAAAGCGAGAGGACGCGAGAGAGAGAGAGAGAGAGAGAGAGAGAGAGAGAGCACTTTCCTCTTTCTTTTCGGTTGCTCTGCGATCATTTTCCTTCATCTTCTTCCTCAGCCCCCTCTCTGAACTCCCCGCTTCTCCGATCCCTTTCTGTCATCGTCTGTCTTGCAGAGTCTGTTGTCTTGGTTTTGAGTTTGTTCTTTTCTTCTTGCTTTGATTTCTATCAAGAGGGTTTATTTTTCTGTACCCTCAGCTTGTGTGTGTGTGTGTGTGCGCTCTTCCTTTGGCTTGTGAAGAAAACCTTTTCTATCGAGTTGGTTTTCTTGTTCTGCGTTTACAGTTTTGTTGCCTGTTCCTTTGGTTTTGGTAAGAAACAGGTGATCTTTCTTATTACGTCTAACGAGAAACCTTCTTGAATTTTCCCGTTTGTGTTTTTGCTGAGGGAGAAATGGCAGCAGCTGTGGAATTCTACAATAGCAACGCACCGTCGCCAGCTTTCTCAGATCCCTTTAGAGAAGAACTCATGAAAGCACTGGAGCCTTTTATGAAGAGTGCTTCCCCTGTTTCTTCTCCATCGTCATCGTCGCCTTGTGACTCGGTCTCTCCACCGCCACAGCCCAATCTGAGCCCTGGCCTTTGCTCCCCGTGGAAAGAAAACCAGATGGGTCTCGAGCAATCCAGCTCGATTGGGCTCAACCGTCTCTCCCCTTCTCAAATCCTCCATATCCAAGCCGAAATGCAACTCCGACGTCAAAATCAAGAACTTTCGTTAGCTTCCACTGTGAATTCTCTTCACCAACATGAAAAATTCGACCACTCACTGAGCCAAAACTACCATGGCGCTCCCCATCTCCTCAGGCCGAAAGCCCTCCCGATGAAGCAAGTGGGAGTCTCTCCGAAACCCAACAAGCTGTACAGGGGAGTGAGGCAGAGGCACTGGGGGAAATGGGTAGCTGAGATCAGACTTCCCAAGAACAGGACACGCCTTTGGCTCGGCACTTTCGACACCGCCGAGGAGGCTGCTCTGGCTTACGACGAAGCCGCATACAAGCTCAGAGGAGACTTCGCTCGGCTGAATTTCCCTCACTTGAAGCACGGTGCTTCGTATCTCTGCTATTACAATCCCCTCCATTCCTCTGTCGATGCAAAGCTCCAAGCGATTTGTCAGAGCTTGGCAGCTAATTCGCAGAAGCAGGGGAAAACAGGGGAGCCCTGTTTTTTCCCAAATCGGGGTACGGAGACTTTCAATGCAGCCGCGGAAGCTGACGAAGAAATGGTCCTCAATATCGCACTAAAGAATGAATACGACACCGATTTCGCGTACCCAGACCAGGATTGCAAGGTGGAAAATTTAGTGTCTTCGCCGGCCTTTTCCGACGAGTCCTCGTTGGCAGGGTCTTCTTCGCCGGAATCCAACCTGGCGCTGTTCGATTTCCCGCATCCGCAGTTTGGGATCGAGAATTTCTGCTTGGAGAAGTATCCTTCGGCCGAGATCGATTGGGCAGCTATTTGAGTCTGCACATGTTGATGTTCCTGCACTGCTCTAATTCCCCTTTTGTTTAGGTCCTTCCTGTCCATAAGTTGGTGGTGGTCTTTAGCAGTCTGTTCTAGTTTCTAGGGATGGTGTCTCCAGAGGCTTCCAACAATGGTATTTTTTTGACATTTGTTGAAGTCCTGTTGAGTGAGCCATTAGAGGTGGTGGGGGAGTACATTTACATCAGGTAGCTTACAAAATTTCTCCATCTGTTCTGCTGGTTGTTTTTTTCCTTTCACTGGCTTGACCATGGAGAAATTTCAGTCTCTATTTGTAGGTTTCCACTGGTTTTTTGTACTTGAACCTTGTTCACTTTATATCTCAGTGAGCGTTTACTCTTGTACTTTCATCAATCTGAAATCTTGGGGTTTCATGTAATTTGGATGAACCCTTTTGCATTGGTAAGCAAGGACGAGGCTTTAGTTATGAAACTAAGGGAGACAAAAAGATAGAATATATAGGAAAAACGACGTTTAAACTGAATTTTCTTGAAGTTCAAAAGAAAATCTACAACTTCGACAAAAGCTTGACTGAAATCCGTAACCTCCGGATGGATCGATTAGGAAGGAAACGAAGGGATTTGAAAATTATGAGAGAAAATAAACGAAATGACCGGAATGGATCGGGTTATAATTTTGTCCGGGTGCTAGCGAGAGAAAGAAAGGAAAAGAATGCATTGTGATACAAATATCCTTTTAGTTACTTATGTAAATATAAAATAACGGTATAAGTACGAAAGCATAATTATTTATTGAATGCATCGATCCCTCTCTTATAATCCTCTAGCGTCATCTCTTTCCCATTATGCAAACACGATTACGTTTTTTAAATCCTTTCACTTTCCTTGTGATCCCTCCTGACAAACATATCGTTTCAATGCTTGGAAGGGTGCCAAAGCGCGGGAAATATATTTAAAAAATATGACATGATATAATCACAATATATTTTCTTGTTTAAAAGGATTGATAATCCTTAAATTTTCCTTAATTCAGAAGCAAAGTGTGAGGGAGAGGGTGGATGTTTACAATACTTGGAAGCGCGCCAAAGTAGTTTTGACCACTAATTGACTCGTGAAGAAGGTATTTATCATAAGCAAAAGTTTATAATTAATGGCCTATATATTATATGAACTCAATTATTATTATTGTTATTATTATTATTTAGGGGCACTGACGTAGATATTTGTCAACATCAAGGTTGATGAAATATCTTATAAGATGGCACTGATTTCGAGTAATATGAACACAGCTGGTAAGAATTAAATGCGTAATTTCTAGTTTTTGAGCAGGAAATCCCTTGACCGCAATCAATTGTACCAACTTTGTGCGTTTTTTGTCTCTCTTATTAACTAAGTAGCCAATAAAGGTGGAATTGATTATTCATAAATGTCAACCATTCTCGAAACAAAAGGTAGGTATTAGGCGTGATTCAAATTTGACGATATATGGAAAATAAGCATCGACTAATTCTATGTCAGCAGCCACGATAATGAAAAAGATGAAAAGGGATCAAAATTTTCTCTAACCTTAAATCTAAGGTTGTCGTCCATGGCTTCAAGATCACAGCCCCCTTGCGATGATCTCAGTCTGAGATTCATAGTCAACCACAATGGGGGTGGCAATGGCGACACTAAGGACGAAAAAGGCGCTTGGAGACTGTTGAGTGGCATTTGACAGCTGTGGGTATTGACGAGATTAGGGTTAGGGTTTACTGAGGATTTGGAAAATGTAGGGTTTTTTTTTTTGTATAATGTTTTGCAAACAAAAGCAAATTGGTCTTTTTTCCAATCTAAACGTTCTTTGGAAAGTTGCAAAAGCTATATTTATCATAAGAAAAGTGGTAAAGTTGCAAAAATTCGTAAGGGTTTTTCCATGTACGTTCCCCCCTATATTGTCTTATTATCATTGATCTAAGTGGCGTCAAATCTCTAGATGGAGCGTCCGAAATCGTTCAATATTATGGCACGGGGTACTAGCAATATGAAAACAACCTCAAAAGACAAGAAAAGAAAAAGAAAAGAAAAGAAAGTGATGGTACCAAAAAGAGAAGAAAGTGGTGGTTAAAACAAATCGAAGCATAAGAGATTGTGTATGGAGTGGAAATGTCGACAAGGCCGTTCGATCATAATTCGACCCATGTCTAATCATCTCTTTAATCATACACTGGAATTCCTGAAACTTCAAATACGAAACCCAATCGCAAGTTCGTGCAAAAAGTTTTAGATGGCCATCCTTATTATAGTTGGACGATCGTCCAGTCATTTCCTTTTTCGATTGATAGTTTCATTAGTCCCATAATCACATTAAAGAGAGCCAGACATGTGCCATGAATCGGACCACTCAAAATTGGGGAGTGGGCGAAGAAAAGAACCCTAAAATTTCATAATAATGTTATCCTATGGTCGCGTGCGATAAGGAATCTTGGATCGGTTTGCACCACATCAGATATCAAAATCAAGGGCAATATTCTTATTCTTTCTTCTCAACATGTAAAAGACAGGTTCACACTGCCAAGAAGAAAATCATGTGCATTGGGAAAGAGACTCCCCCTTGAAAAGCCACCTCCCGTTCCCATCACCTACAGAGAATCCTCCTCCCCCCACCAAAAGAAAAGCTCAGGTTCTCCAGGCCCACTCTTTCCTTCATCCCCTCACGATTCTTCACCATCATCATCTCCTCATTTCTCGTCAACTTTTGGCTTTCTAGAGAGAGAGCAGTGGGAAAAGTAGTAGTGCCATTGGATGCCAAAAGCAAATGTGAATGCGAGGGAGACTACTTGCAACCGCAAAAGTCAAGGGGGATTCCTTCAAGAATGGAAAAGACAGCGGGGCTCAACTAGGGTTTTGGTACTTTACAGGCTCAACTTACGTGGCTTGGTCAGTCTTGTGACTCAGCAAAATTCGGAATGCAAGATGAGAATCTGGTTTTCTTGACTCACATCAATGCCTGGTTGCACTGACGTACAAGATTCATTCTCCAAGTTGCCTCTTCACGCTGACGTGAGTTTGGAAATTCGTAGAATAAACCTAGGGTATCGAGGGGCCTAGATGTGTTATTACAACGAAATGATGTTGTGGGGTTCATGAAATCATATGAGATATTATGCAGATTACCAAAGATAACGGCAATCAAGTAATATTCCCACCCATAATCCATCTCTTAGTTTTTACAAAACTTACAAAAAGGGTATCAATGGTGAAATTGCGATGACAAGCTTATGAAGCACGGGCATGATCATTTTGATTGCCCATCAGAATGCCCTCACCCGTGGCCAGTCAAGGAATCGATGTTGAAATCACGATGACAAACTTATGAAGCATAGGCATGACATTTTAATTGTCCATCACAATGCCCTCGCTTATGACTGGTCGCCGGCCATCACTGAGACAGGCCACAGGCGAAAAGGAAAACAAAAAAAATTAGTAAATTTTAAGAAAATTACAAAAATCATCCACGTCGGTGATTTTCGGTTATTATATTGGAAAATCGCTAAAAAATTAAAGATTAAATTTGCCAAATTAATAAGTTTAGGACTAAGTTAGCCGCAGTATAATAGAATTAGAACTTTTTGGACAATTATTGCAGTTTTTAAATTCTTAGTTGGGGCAATGGCTCCTACTTTTGCAAGCCCCTGCAAAAATTCTACTTTTCAGACTGCTTGATAACCAATATAGAATATATGTAAAGCCCCTCATTTTGCAAACTTTAGTTCTCTATGCTATCAATATCATACCCCTAATTTCCTAAATTCCTTGTTTGACTCAAGCTTCGATTAGGCTATTTATATTACACACGGCACACTAAATCAATTATACTCAGCATAATCAAAAGATAGAAAAAGATTAAGAGTGACAAAATAAGTGGAATCAGAGACTTAATTAAGAATTTCGAATATGACACCAAAAGTGCAAATGAATATCACTCATATGACTTGCTATACCATCTACCATAACTCATATAACTTAACTATGACCTACCGTAACTATTGCATACGAATTTTTGCGATAAAATGACCTGTGTTTTTCTTGATAGATATGTCAATTTAGCACATTTGAGGCGTATTATTTACTCGGAGCAGATGGTAAAAAATAAGTGCTAATTCAAGAGTTGATAATCTAAAGTATTAAGAATACAAATACAGTGTTGTTCGATGATAATTGAAAACTAGTAGCTAACTCTTCTTCTTTTTTTATTTCGTACCAGATATGGCGACTTTTAGCATTATATATGACATGATTTCAGTTTCCGTCAATTGTTTTTGCTATTGAATGAATTAAGCAATCCCCCTTTTACTAACCACCTGATTTTTAGCTTAATTCAATATTTTAAGTCAATGCCAATTAAGGTTATCAAAGAAGCTTAATTTCATCAAGTGTTGAATTTTCGGTTTTGAGCACGTAATTGGGTTATCAAATGTGCCCATTCTAAGAGAAGACGGATGAATAGAACTGGGCCGAACTTTGATTCGGCGTCCTCAAAATGCTCTTTAGTCAAATACAATCATTAATCTTCGTTGATACTAATAGCTCATGTTCAATTTGAGAAGATACTATAGGGGTGTCAAACAGGTGGGTCGGGTCGGGTTTGGATCCGATCGAAAATGGTCCAACCATATTAACCAATTTAACCTGTTTTGACCCATATTCATGTAGTGTAAATCTAATGACCCGACCCATACCCAACCTGTATTCTAAAAGACTTTAAAATCCAATTTAGAAAAAAACTTGTTTATTATAATATTTATATTGCTAAAATGCTTCAATACAATATAAAATAAGTGAACAATTTTTATAATTTAAAAAAATAATTTTTTATATATATTTATTTTCTTTTTATTTTTTATTTTTAAAGAATGAAAATTTTAATTATTTTTCTTTTTTCTTTTTTCTTTTTCCTTCTTCTTCGGCCGGCCGCAGGCGAACTCATCCGGATAGGCAAGCTCAAGGCTCGTCCCAAGAGCTCGTCTAGCGAGCTCCAACTCGTCCAAATCGGCGAGCTTCAAGCTTGCCAATCTGGAAGAGCCTCGAGCTCGCCGGAATCTGGCGAGCTCGAAGCTCGCCTATGGCTAGTCACCGGCCGCCGAAGAAGGAAACATAAAAAAAAAAAGGAAAATAAGAAAAAGAAAATAATAATTATAAATAATTATAAACATTCGATTTTTTTTAATTTTTTTTTTTAAATGACACTTAAGCTATTTAGCCTACAAGGTTACAAGTTAATAACTTAAATGAACCAAATATGGGTTGAATATGAGTTTATCAACCCATTGACAAACCCATATTCAACCCATATTTGATCCATATAAACTTGGGCTTTAATGTTAAAAACTCATTTTAACCTGTTTTTCAAAATTTCAAGTGACCCATATTTAACCTGGATCCACTAAAAATATGTTAATGAATGAGTTTCTGACCCATATTGCCACCTCTTAGATAGTACAACCATTTTCATGATTTAGCTAATTTTTGAACAATTAAATAGTATAAAGTACAAAACAGTCATGAAAATTCGTTGCATTGCCTTCAGTCTCTTTCCACTCCATGGTTCTCTTCTTTGTTTCTTCTCCACTAATTACATCAAGTCTTTCCCTTCCCTTCTTGCGATCCCTCGACTTCAACTCCACTAGTAATCTCGAAAGATTTTATGCTTACTCGTTGCGGCCGACGGGAGTACGATACACAATAGTATTCACCCAAAGCTTCAAACTTAGATGTGCTGCCTAATCACATCTGATAACGATCGTTCGAGCCATTGACCCGCCCTCAATTGAGATGTGCATGATGGTACTCGTCGTCCTCTCAAGAAATTCGAGGGATTAATTTCAGTGGCTCTTGCGCCAAAAAACTTCCTAAACTATTTACTAAAGAGATAGGACACACGATATAGACGCTTCAAATTTACAAAAGATAAATCTATCACACGAAATAGGGAGGAAATCCAAACCCGGTTTACACGGTCTTCGATCTTGCAGGCTTGCAGTTCGAATATGCGACTCCGGCTGTCTCGGTTCTGTGTCTAATATCCTCGTACATCTTCAATGAAGCCTCGGAAAATTTCCTCAACCGGTCAAGTACTTTAGTCAGGCTTGTCTGTATGCAGCTCAAGTTGGAGGGGGCGCATTCATTCTTCCCCTCATCTGGTTCCTCTGGTCCTCCGTTGTTTGAGTCGCAGGGCCTCTGCTTCCTCTGTGATTCCGCTTGGTGCTCCGTCAGATCATACAGATCTGACAAAAAGCTCCTGATCGCGTCGTTGAGCTCACTAGACGGCAGTGCCTTGATCCCCGCGGCCCAGTCGCGGAACAAGGAGAATATGGGCGGCGCGAGCACTCGCCGTGGGGACCACGGTCGTCGATACTTGGAGCGCTCTGGTGGCTGGATGATGCAATGTTGGAGCCAACCATTAAGGGCTTCGACGTAGGACGTGAGGCTGTTTATCCAATTTGCGAAGCTCAAGCCAAAGCATTCGATCTCTTGCTGGAGCTGATCCATGATCAGCCGCCACGCATCGCCTTGTGACATTCCCGAGCAGACTTTGGAATGATACGCTAAGGAGATTGTTATGTACTGTGCGTGATGGCATTCAAGCATAGCCTTCCACATTCTGATAAACCTGCAATAAAAAGCCCGCACCTGACATCAATCTGGTGTTTTTCTTAAATCGGTAACATATACAACATCTTCACCATGCAAAGTCGCATATTGACATATCATGTTATATCGTATGATTGCTTTAACACTTTAAGATCAAATAAAAAACAAGTGGAAGAAATCGCAGGTTTAAAATGTTCAAAATGCCACTGTAAAAAACTCGGATATTTGAGAGTCTATGGATCCCAAGCGTAAATTCCCGATAAGTAACATGCTGAAACAAATACTCCACTAAACACATGAAACCTCAAGCTCGAGCAAAATGGCAGTCGGCCAATACTAGCCAGCACAGAAACGAAAAGAATATAGTTTGAATGCAACATTTTTCGATCAAATTGACATTATGGCGGTAAGTATGTGATACACAAGATTTCCGACCCTAAAGAGAAGAAGAAAGAGACCATCCATCACTCACCCTTGAATCAGTTCGACGAGTTGTGGCTGCAACTCGTCATCTCTCATTTTCTCGATGCGCTTTGAAATTGAATCAACAGAGTGGAGGGCGACTTGTATCCGAGAATGTAGATCCTTTACGACAGCCCGTGTTTTGTCAATCACATGGGTACTGCAACCCTTTGCAAATTGGTGTCGAAGCTGGTCACACTTTTTGTCATACTCCTTTCTAATAGATTCACTGGCCTACAGAAATTCAGGAAATGTCACCATCCAAATATTAGAACCTGGGACTACGGAGTCCTCATGGCTTAGTTGGTGAATTAGTACCAGAAAACAAATGTCATATATCATCCTAACAGAGAAACATTCATAACAAACATCTTGAATTATTTATCTTCCTCTTTTGGCTACGCAAAGCTTTTCTAGTTGGCATAAGTAGCTGATGGTTAATTGTTGAGGAAAACTAAAAAGATCATCCCACAAAATCTAAATTATTTTCTCAGGCACATTATTGGAAAATGAGATAGATAAAGCATACTCCAAACCCGTCAGCCACCAAGGGGAAAAACACAAAGGAGACAGAAACGACATACATTCAGTTTTTACAAACTTTGTCACACTGCTAAAATTGTTTTGCTGCTAGAGAACCTATGAATGCTTGCTGCTACAGAAACTTCATTCAATTACTCTTTCTATTTTCCCAGCCCCAAAGATGGTTCACTACAACTTTCATTTCACAAGTCTCGAATTCTGTTCACAATTCAAGTTTGAAATCCAGGAAGTACAATAAACTCTTTATATATATATATATGTTTACTAGTTTTCAAGCGTGTGCACAACTACTTTGGAGATAATATTAAAATTTTTTCGCTAAATTTATTTAGTGATCTCATTCTAGGGATAGGATAAGAACCACTGTATGTAAAGGTATAGGTTAAAAACTCATAATTACGACAGCATCGCTGATTTTTCATTGTGGTGAGGAAGTGTTCATATAATATTAGCACTAATGAAAAGTGAGACAAAGGGCGGTTATGCAGAAAAGAAAGCACGTGGTTACTCAATTAATGTGTATATGTATTGCAGAAATGGTTTTGGAAAGTAAAAAGTGAGACAAATGGCACTTTTGAAATATACAGATAGATTTTTAGACCAAAAAAATATATACAGATAGATATTCCAACCAAAAAAAAAAATATAAAGATAGATATACTTGTCTCCTCTTGAAGTTAATAGGTATGGGTAATAGCTCTATAGAGGATTTACATCAAACACCATAGGCCCAAAGGTTGATATCCCTGCTTTCCATATGAAGGAAATTTTTATTTGTTTTTGAGGGTGTGTTCAGTAGAATGAACAAGAGCTGCAATGAGATCCTCATTCCGAATCTATTCTGTTTCTTGTATCTGGTGAGAGCCTGTGAATAGGATAGGACAAGCCCTTGAGGAATGCCCATCTCATTTGTAGGAGGATTGAACGTTCCTTTCTACAGGCACTCAGACATGATATAAGTTTTGTTTCAGACTGCAACATTTTTCTTCTCGTACTTCTTTTAGGTGACGATCAAGGTAAGAAGCAAACTGCCCATGACATTGTATTCAATTCCTTCCTCCATTTTCATCTTCCTCCAACATTTTCTTTCCAAACATTCCCTACATGTTTAATGATGACAACGCCCACAGCAAGACTGTACATTAAATCATGAAAAACTACCCTACAATTCGTAAACGTTGTGTAAAGAATTTAATCAAGTCCTACACCTTTCATTTGATGCAATCATACTGTAAATCTTCCCGAAAAAGTGCAATCAAGTCATTCCGGTCAAATCTTCCCTGATTTCTTCTATATGGCAACGCTCTCAGGTTGCCATATAGTCAATATTGGTGGCTACTAGGAAGTTTTCAACTGGACTTGATTACATTTTTCTTTCTAAATGTTAAAAACTTTATTGCATCAATTGAAAAAGATTTAGAACCAATTGCATTCCATACATTACGTTTTGGGACTTATTGCACTGTTTGCTGTCAAATTGTCTACTAGGTCTATACGAAAATGAAACTAGAGTACCAAAAAAACTTTTTGCCAACAATTATAACTTCAACATCCAGAAAGAATGAGAAAGATAAAATACAGATTTACCAAGAAATTAGTACCTTGACTTCATCATAAAGCTTTCTTTCCCATGCGAATAACCTGTCCAAAGTGGATGAATGGCTTCCAGAAATCATACAAAACTCTTCGATGAAATCACTTCCACTGTCACTGACATCATCTTTCGGTGCTCCATTTAGGTGATTTCTTGATGAAGATGACCGAGAAGATGTTGTCCTTTTCCATATTATCATCCTTTTTCCATTTTGTCCAGGTTCTGTGAAAATTTAAAAGAACTTGCATCCATTAAAAAAGAGAAAAGGCAGCAAAATCAACCTGAAGCAGATTCTATTATAAGAGATGGGAATTCATGGTGTATGTTGAAGATAGTTGCCCATGACACAATAAATATGGAGCATTCACAAGTTTTGAAAGTTGTTTATTATAGTATCATAAACCCAAGGAAAGTAAGGGTACTGTAAAATATGTGCAACAAAATGTGTTGCACCATCACCAACAAATATTTTTCACCAAAATTTCGTCAGCAGCATTAAACTATGACAAATTGCTAATCTTAAATCATGATATTCATCAGAAGCGAAGACCAAGAAATGCTTAAAAAGAGATTTAATAACAAATTAGTCAAAGTATCACTATAACTGCAGATACATCCGATGTCAATCACAGCCAGTTTTACAAAAAAGCATTGAAGTTACCATGAGATATGAGTGGAGGCTTCTGGCGGCAACATACATGCTGAAAAGCTCCCAACAAAGCCGACGAGGATGACTGACCTACAAGAATTTAGTTATTTTAAGAAAGTCACACAACCAGATTCATGAATAGTGTGCAAGAAGACGCTTCCAATAATTTTAATGAATAGGGAATAGAAAGAGATTATCAAGCAGAGCAATCATCAATATACCTTTCTCCTCTGTATATCGCACCCTGATTTTGTTTCCCTCAAGCATTCTGGAGACCTCCTTACCAGACTCAGAAGCCCTGAAGAATTTGTGCTCGATGTCCTTTATGCTTGAAAGGAAATCTTTTGCCCTGTGGGTAATATACTCAGAAGGGTCCTCTCTTTCAGCACCTAAATCTTTGTTTGCTGCGGTCATTTCTACCTTAGAGCTTGAACGTCCAATACCACCCTTGTCCTGTGAACTTTGGCCCAGATCATTGGCACTATATTCTGTCCCCACCTGTCTCGCCTCATTAGCTGATCCTTGCTTCGAACCACCTTGCAGACCTCCTAGAGTGATCAATTTACAAGTGCTCTCCACCCCTAAACTATGGCTGTTACTTGTAGTGGAGATATCACCTGATTTCAAACAATCCTTCGTTTCTGATTTGAGGACCGATTTTGCATCATGAAATACATCAGCTTCACTTGAATTTACCTTTAAATGGTCAAGCTTTTCACCCTTAAACTGTGACCAGTTTCCGAAACTCTCGAAATTCATATCAACTCCACATTGGCCATCAAACCTGAAGCTCTCATTCTCATCAATAGGATCGAAGAAGTCCCAAGAGCCACCAGATTCCGGTGGAAGGGGGGGCGGCGGCGGGATCCCAAATGCCATCGTACCGTCATCCAAAAATCTCGTACTAGCAAGAGGATTCAAACAGATGGTCACGGAAGTTGAGCCCCCGGATTTCATAAAACTCATTCTAGTCGTCAGTGGTGAAAGGGGGCTTCCATTGTTCAATGGGGAATCCGATACATCCACGACGTGCGAAGGAGATGGGGACGGGTAAGAGGAATGCGAAGGAGTTTTCTCAATCTCGGTGGCGGAAGTCGAGAGAGATGACTCTATCAATATCTCAGCTTCAGCATATCGCCGCAGAGCTACACCGACGTTTTTGAGAGACTGAATGTAAGACACATGAGCAGCAGCTAGCGCACATCTAGAGTTTATGCCTTCCTTAATGAATTTCTTCCTAGCCTTACACAATCGGAGGGCCTCATTTCTATCAAGTTTTGTGTTTGCAGAGCCCATTTTTCTTCACCGGTCAAAAGCTGCAAGAACTCAGCTCAAACTTAGCACATGCACGACCACACCTATTTTGTAATCTGTAAATCCAAGCTCAGCCTCAAATCGCAAGTAAACAAAGACCCACCAAGCAATACGCTTCAACTCTACCACAGGCAAAGGACCCCAACAAGAGCAGAACCCAGAAAAACCATTCTTCAAAGTCCAGAGGCAAACACAGAAGAGAACAACCTCAACACACTCGCACCAGTAAACATAATGTAGCTCATTCCCCGTACTAGACCCAAAAAAAAAAAAGAAAACTTCCTTCCTTATTTTACTATTAAAAAAAGACCCAGATGGTAATGTTAAACATCGGAAGAAAAGAAATGGTTCGACCTGCTTTCAGTTCCAAGTAAGCTCTTTGGCTTCACGGATTACCAGAGCAAGGAGTGAAGCAGAGGACGAGTAGCTTTCACGCTTCCGAGTAGAAGAAAGAGCAGCATTCCGCGAGCAACAGGAGAGCAGTTGGCGGTTCATAAATCAGACACCCCTGAAAACGGGAACCGGAAACAGGATGAAAGCGATGAACGGGATGAGCAAAAAGCATTCCCCATTTTCGGTAAAAGTCTCCCTCCCTCCCTCCCTCCCTCCCTCTCTCCCTCCCCAGCCAGAAGCAGAGGAGTTCTGCAAGGGGATGATGAATGCAAGATGGAGTGATGGGAAAAAAAAAAAAGGGGCGAAGGGGGTGCACAGATGAGAGAAGCGAGCGTTGAAAAGCGCGCAGAGAGAGAGAGAGAGATTGGAATCTGCTACAGTCTTAATGCATTCTTGACAGAAAGTGGCCTCGTTTAGCGGGTCGGATTAGTGCATTTCGTCCCAGTTCATTCATTCCAAACAAAGCAAATCGAAGGGGGAGGAAAAAGAGATCAAAAGGCCCCAAGCAGTGGAAAATGCAAAAGACCCTCCCCCCCCCCCTCTCTCTCTCTCTGCCTAGACCGGTCTCGCTCGGTGTCTTTCTCCCTCTAAATCCAGCCATGGGGACACGAAACCAAGAAAACTTTTTCCTCTGGGCGCAGAGGAAAAAACAGAGTGAATGTGTCAGCGAGCGAGGACTTATGTGGCAGGTTCCCATCGGGGAAAGGTGAGTGGAAAGACGGTGGTGCCCCTAGGTTTCCCCCGAGGAGGACCCCTAACGGCTCCTTGAAATCCGGTTTTTTTCTTTCTCCTTTTGTTTGTTGTATTTTTTCATCTGGGGGAAGTTGCGCCTTTTTCTTTTTCCCCTCCTTTCTTTTTTTCAATGCTCGAGAGGAAAAGCAAGACGGAAAAAGAAGTTGCACTAGGCTCCGTTCGTTTGGTGAAAAATATTTTTCGGATTTTTCGGTATTTGGGGGGCGAAAAATATTTTTCGTGGGAAAATATTTTCCTTCCCCCCTCACAAAATAACCTAAGTCTATGGAAAATGACTTCCGCTTCTTCAAAAGCGGAAATCATTTTTCGGAGCTGCTTCTTCTTCTTCTTCACTAAGATCGCCGGCCGCCGCCGCCGGTCGCCCCGCCACGCCGGCCGACGCCGCGCCGGACGCTGGCGCGCCTCCGCGAAAAATATTTTCCGAAACTTTTTCGTATTGATCGCCGAACACCGGAAAATTATGTTCCGGGAAAATATTTTCCAGGAAAATGACTTCCGGGAAAATATTTTCCAAAAGGAGAATATTTTCCGCCAAACGAACGGAAAATAATGTAATATATATGTATGTTTATGTGTAGATTCGAGAACATACCGTCTTAGATTTGGCTCCTGATTCCGGACGGATTCCCTTGGGAACCGCCAGTGGAGCCAAGCCGACGGCCGAGGGAGTGAGCAAAACAAACCGATCGAATTGAGAACCGCACGGACCGGATCGAACCGGCCAGTTCTGAGCGGTTTTTTAGGGCACCGGTCCAATTCCCATTTCCAAAAAATTGGAACGGTGATTTTCGGTTTAGTTCCCAGTACCACGTCCACCTGGATCGCTTCGACCGGACCGATTATTATTTTTTATATTCTTGAAAATCTGTAAAATTTGAAAAAGAATAAAAACCCCTTAAGCCTCAAGTACTCTCTCACACATAGCCTGAGTTGCTCCCTTTCTCAAATCTAAACGAAACCATAATATGTGTCAATCTTTCTTTGTGTTGCTCGCCTCCCTTTGGCTCGATTGTCACGACTTGCCTCCCTTTCACAGCTCGCTCTCTCGCTCGATTCTCGCCTCCCTCTCTTTCTCTGCTTTTAGCTGCTCAACTCTCTCTCTCTCTCTCTCGCATCTCATCGAATTAAATGCTATGTATATTTTGAATTTTTTTATCTCATCTTCAAATTTTTTTGCCGTTCTCTGTCTCGCATCTCATCGACTCTCACTCTCTTTTATTTTTTTTTTTGCGGCTTTGTCGAGTGTTTGTCTCAGCAATTTTCGTACGTCTCATTCATGCCTCGTTACCCAATTCGTCTTTTTGATGAAAGATTAAGAGGTCCATCATGAATCACCTGACCATATCCTAAGAGATTCGCCCATTGGTTTTCAGTTTCTCACCTTCCTTTGCTTTATTTCAACAGAAAAAATTAATATTGGCCCACCCTGAAATCGAATTGATCGGGTCAGATCGGTTCTAGGGGGTATTTATCCAGTTCCTAGTCCCAAAAATTGAGAACCGGTCTCACCGGTTCGGTTCTCAATTCTTGGGCGAGAACCGAACCGCACGGGTACCGATCACCTCTAATCGACCGTTTCCAAGCCGAGCCCAAGGTCAATCAGGACTGGGTTTAATTTAAGTAATATAACTATTATTGTAAGAGAACATAGCTGTGAATTATTTGTGACATAGTGGTTAAGGCCTAGATGATTTCCTAGCCTTTCTAGGCTCAGAGTTCAACATATCTATCTTTTTTTAAAACAAAGTAATAAAGAAAAGCTTAAAATTAATTCTAAGGCCAATTCTCGAGTACATTAGGAATCAAGCCGGTCAAAGCCAGTTTTATAATCTTTTATCCAAGAACCTATCTGGTCCTCGTGTAAATCAAAGTGGAATCGTCGGGTAAGTCCGATTCGATTTTGTTCTTTGGTTGAACCGGCCCAATTCCTCACCCCTAAAATTTTCATAATCCCACTTAAACAAATAAATCCCGAATGAGCAAATATTTTGATAATCTTATGGACTATGTAACATACAAATCAAACTAAGCAGCTCCAAATAATTTACAACATTAATCGCTTCTTAAAGTTGATTTAATAAATCTGTTATTTAACTCATATGGGTAATTTATTAGTTGCTGAATATGGATCATTGGCTAATAATTTACTTATAATGTGTCGATTCTTTTGATACATTAATTTCAAAGATTAATTTTGGTATATTTTTTTGCTAAATTAATTTTGGTATATAGCTACCTGGCATCGAGTACTTTGCATTGCTTCGGAGCTTTGCCCTTTTAAAAAAGTTGTCATGAATAATGCGACTACTTTTGGCAGCCGACTTACCGTATTTTGGGGTAAGTGGAGTGGCATGTGTAGGAGCTACTTTTACTTATTGATATATTAACCTACCATATTTTTTTCTCCAAAGCTAGTAAGTTGATATTCTTGTATATTCATGGTAGTGCCATTATATTACATTTTTTGAATGAAGATAAAAATATATGGGGGAGCAGCTGGAATGTTCTCTAACATTTTCCTTTTTTTTAATGGTAATGTTCTAGACATAATTTGTTTAAGGGTTGATATCACAAAAAATCATAAATTGATACTCGAGACACATTTATCACAAATTAGGTTTTGTGTCGCAAAAACTCCCGAACCGATAAACTCGTGCAATATTTACCTCAAACTAATTTTTATATCACAAAAAATTCCAAACAGATACATCAATGTCATATTTACCCTAAATCGGCGCATTGTGCCACATTTACCTCAAAAAATCTTAGATTTGCCACAGTTTAGGATAAATATGTCACTAGCATACCAATTTGAGATTTTTTATGACTTAAAATTTAGTTTGAGATATAAATATCACACGAATATATTGCTTTGAGGTTTTCGGTGGTTTTAGCCCTTTGTTTAATGCGTTTTCATATCAAATTTACCATTCGAGATCGAAATGGCAGAGACGGGGAAAGTTCCGCTGAATCAACATGATTTGGAGAAACTCCAAAAACATACGCTCATTGGAAATGTATAGCCCCCAACTGACAACTCCTTCTAAGTTGTAATAAATTATGAGTAGACATGAATATTGGAGCTTGCTAGATCATTTAGTCAACGGGTCATAGGTTGTATTAGCTTTTTTTGTGCAATCTTGGGTAATAAAATCTGTATCTATTTAGCAAATGCCAAAAAAAAAAGGAAAAAGAAATAGATAAAGGAACGGTGTTTGAATTGATCGAGTTTAATGAATGGATCCTCGTTGAAAGATTTGGCAAATGTTTTTACAAATCAAAATTAAGAAAATGTGTGTTTTAACATAGGCGCTGGGCAGAGAGTACAACATAAGTGAACTTAGTAATAAAAGTTCGGTTTTTAGAACGTAACACCAAAGTCATTAACTTTCTTTTTTTAATGAGTTAATACCACAAAAATCCTAAACTGGTACATCTATGATAAATTTGTCATAAACTAATTTTTTTACCACCAAAACCCCAAACTAGTACACATGTGACAAATTTACCCTCCGTTAATTTCCGTTAAATTTTATAGTCAAATTGCTGAGTTTGATGACACGTGGTAGTTGACGGGTGTACCAGTTTAGGTTTTACCCCTATGTTTGTCACAGGTTTACTAATTTGTGATTTTTCATGGTATTAATCCAATTTAACGGAGGATAAATTTGTCACAAGTGTACCGGTTTGGAGTTTTTGGTGGTCGAAAAATTAGTTTGAGGTAAATTTGTCACGGATGTACCAGTTTGGGATTTTTTGTGGTCAAAAAATTAGTTTGGGATAATTTGTTGTAAGTGTACCAATTTGAAATTTTTCGTGATATTAACCATTTTTAATTTATTGACACTTGTAAACAAAATCCAAATGATGAAAGCAAAAATATAGGCTTGTAGAGATATGAAATGTTATTATCTCAAATTTTTTCGTGACTGATTCTAAATTAGGGGTATGCAAAACGGACCACCCGAATCGAGAATCGGACCGGTCGGTCTGATCCGGTTCCCGAGAGTAGCGATCCGATTCTCGGCTCCTAAAAGTGGAACTAGTGTTCGGACGGTCCAATTCCCAGTTCCAAAGGGAACCAGACCAAATCGAACTGAGCTGATTTTTTTTTTTGTTTCTTCAAAAAATTAGTAAAATGTGAACTAAATCCTAAGTGAAGTACTTTTTCGGTTCGTCTTTTCAATTTGAGGATTATTACTGATGTTTGATCATTCATGGTTTTAAAATAATCCTTATTTCTCGATGATCGGTAGGTTTAGTTTTTTGTTTTCAATTTGCAACTTATAAATCTGCTTTTTAAATTTTTGTTTATCGTAGAAGATATATGAATATATAGTTAGGGTCCTTTTAAGATATATGAATATATAGTTAGGGTCCTTTTACTCATATCTTTTTTTAAAAAAGTAATGGGGGACACAAAGAGATGGCATCAAGTGGTGGGAAAAAAAATCGGTTCCATTGGACCGGACCGACGTTGGTCCGGTTTGGTT